TCAGCTGTTCAAACCTCACCAATCACTTTGCTGGAGAAAGATGAAGCAGTCGTTTCTATAAAGATACACAAAACCCTATAGGGCAGTTCTCTGTCCTATAGGATTGCTATGAGTCAGAAATTAACCCAATGGCAATGGGTTTGTTTTTTTTTAATCTTTACAGGAGCTTATCTTTAGGTCTTTTCTCCCTTGGAGCTACTGGTTGTGTTTGCACTGCCATTCTTTTGGTTAGCAGCTGAGTCCTTAACCATTGCACCGTTGCACCACCAGTGTGCAGTGAATTGCAATGTTAAATTTATTTTTTACTGTATGGCATGATCAAAAAGTTGAAAAACCACCAATCAAAGGAGTGAGTGTAGATTGAGAAGAGGGCAAAGCACGAGCCATGGCTCACTGAGAGGTCCGAGGAGGATCCAGTAAAGGGGATTGATCAGGAGGCAGCCACCAGAGAACTTAATTCAGTGATGAGAATTGCTTAATTGCCTTGCCTTCAGAGTGGAGGTTGTCCTCAGGAATTACTGAGACCAGCACCCTTGCTTAGAATAACTTATAACTGCTGATCATTTTTGCTCTGGTGAAATTGTTGCTGCAATCAAGTTACATGCTTCAATTATAAAATTCTAAGCTTATAAAATAGTGCTCTTTATATTATAAAAATATTTTTTGCTGAGTGTTTTCACAGATACCTTTAATGGTTCACCTAATACTTTGGTTTGATTACAATTCTCATCCATAAATTAGAAACAAAAGGTATTTGAAGATTTTGAGGATTAGAAGTAACATATAAACAAATGTTCTGTGCGATCAGCAAGTAGTAGATGGACAATAAAATCTATGTGCTAGTACATGTATTTAGAAGTATATGCTTTGTTCTTTGTTCATTCATCCAACATTAAATTCTAGCAAATTCCAGGCATAGTGAATTTGTGTTATTTAGAAACAAAAAAAACCCCAAATCTGCTGCTTAGTATTTTGCTGCAGTTATATAGTTTTTCTTGGGATTATCTATTATGCATATATAAATTACTACATATAATTTATCAATTTATTATGTAATATTTAGTTGCTATGGATCTTGACTTAACTTTTGAACACAAAACTTTTAAAGTGCCTTTTCCATCCGTTTGTGGAGTGGTATGCTCCCCCACCCCATTCTCTCTCTATGTATACACATAGGGTGAAGTAAGAAAACAGTTATAAAACCCATTTCCCTTTTCATATTGAAATGTTTCAATTTGTCAGAAACCAAACAAAACTGCTATTGAGTTGATTCTGGCTCATAGCCCTCCTATAGAACAGAGTAGAGCCGCTGTATGGGGTTTCTAAGCCTGTAAATCTTTACAAAAGCGGACTGTCTCAACTTTCTCCAGCAGAACACCTGGTGGGTTTGAACTGCCAACTTTTTTCATTAGCAGCTGAATGCTTTAATCACTATGCCACCAGAGCTCCTTCAATTTATTAAAGTCATGATATATTCGTTAGAATGAGAATGCAGAAATATTCTGATGGCTGAAATCTTAAACTTGTGAAAAATTCATTTATTTAAAAATACCTTTGAAAGATTCATGAGTAATGAAACCAAGACTTCAAGATTCTCTTTTTACTTACTTAAGCCCTCTGCTGCAAGATTTTCGAAGCAAATTGGCATGTCCAGGGGAGAAGATGCACACTTTACCACTGTTCAGCCCTTGAATTTTATAGGTTTTGTTTGCTGCTTTCTTACTCCTCCTTAGTAGCAGTTGCAGGCTGGCACCTGTCAAATCTAAGAGAAAGAGCAAATGACACCACTAGCATGCTTGGCAGGACTGTAATATGGAGTAACGAGAACTATGCCCCAGAAGCCCTGGATACCCAGACAGTTATTCTGTAGTACCTACCTTCTTAAAGATCATGACATAAAATTAATGGAGTATGGAATTCTCCAGGTAGAAATGGGGAAGAAAAGAGATGGGTTTCTTTGCCTATCATATTTGTAAACTTAGAGAAAAAAGAAAACTTTTTTGAAAGATTGAAGACAGCACAAAGTAAAAACATCCCAAATTTGTACAAGTTTTCTTAGTACTTATATTTATTTTAGAAATTATATTAGTACTTACTGGGGAGAAATTGCCTAGGGGAAGCAACTTTTTTTTTTAAGCTTCAAGATCATTAAGTCACATTTTTAATCTCTCAGGGGGGAAAAAATCTATATTGAAAAATAATTAAATTATGTTAAAAATCAACAGTACTTTGCATTTTCTCTCAGGCATCTCATTAATTTTTAGATATCTCCGTGGGCAGGTTATTGCTATTCTATTTTGTTGACATTTAGCATTTATTAAGTCCACACAGTGAGAAGAATTCATAGAATATGTAAAAGCCTATTTTTGAGATTCTTATGCTTCTTGGAAAGTGACAAATATACATGTACTCTATTTTTAAATTTTTTTTAATTTTTACATATCCTAATTCAGCAAAAATTAGAAAATACAATAGCATTATTTTCAATAATAATAAAGTTAGCAGGATTAGTGTCATAGTTACTCTTTCTTTGATTGCTGGGCAAGTGAGGAGATCCATCATGTTTGCTTTCAAATCTGCCTTCCTGAAGCTGTTAGGGATCTTCTTTGTAGTACTTTCTGTCAGAAGAGGGAATTAAGAAGATTAGTAAATTAATCAGCAATGAATTTCCAGGGGCAAACTCCTCAAAGTGTCTTATCAATTCCTAGAAACTGTAGTTGCTGCTTTTTTCTGTGAACTTTAATAAATCCCCTTAATATGTTTTAAAATCAATTCTAGCTGCCAAACAAATGCTTTCCTCAGGTAAGTAAGCTCAGGGAGAAAGTTATTTCCTTGGCTTAAAAAGCTGTTGCTCCCAAATTCCTTGAAATAATTTTACCTCAGATAATCTTTTAAAGAAGCTAAAATGCATAGTGCAATATCTGTTATGTTTTAATAACAAAAGTATAACAGTAAAACGTTGGTAGGGTCACTGAGTCGAAATCAAGGCAACAGGTTGAAACAATGAGGGTCAAGAAGCTTAAAATTGTTTGACTTTATTGCTTTTGATTAATAAAACAAAAAACCCTATGGAATTTAGAATATTAAAGAAAATTTAGAATGTTGAAAGTTTCCTAAAATTCAGGGTACAGTAACTTTTCAAATATACTTAAAGAGGAAAAATGAGTTTTATATGTACTTTTTAAAGCTTTTAAAGTAGTAATTTCCTTAATACACGCTCTTCCTGTAACATGTTTCATTCTGAATGCTTTTAAAGAGTGCCATCTAGTGTTAATTTTAGAGTAGTGATTTATGGATTAGAATTTGGGAAATGTGGGACCCAGGAAATACACTAATGAAAAAAAAAACAGTCATGATACAGAAGCCTTAAGGAATATGACTTGAAAACATCCATTAATAATTTGACCTCAAGATTGTACATGTTCATCTTTAAGGTAAACAATGTGTATATTAATCCATGCATTCATTCAACAAATACTATTTGATCATAAGCCAGACCTCTAAATAGGAGCTCTGATGGCTTAGTGCCTAAGGCATTTGACTGCTAACCAGAAGGCTGGCAGTTCAGACCCCCCAGCCACTACTCGGAAGGAAGGTTGGGCCATCTACTTCCGTAGTGATATCGCCTTGGAAATCCAAGGAGGGGTCGCTGTGAATCGGATCCGACTCCATGGCAGTGCGTTGCATTGAGCTGTGTTGCGTTGTTCTAGATATTCATAATAAATAAATAGATAAAATTGCGTGAGGTGGATTCCGACTCATAGCAACTCTATAGGACAGAGTAGAAGTTCCTCATAGGATTTCCAAGGCTGTAAATCTTTAGGAAAACAGATTCCACAGATTTTCTCCCACAGAGCTGTGGGTTCAAACTGTCAACTTTTCCATTAACAGCCAAGTGCTTAACCACTACACCACCAGGGTCTGTCAGAGAGACCAACCAGGAGGCAAATACTATAGTTTAGAAGAGGGGTGATAGTAATTTGGATCACAGTGGAAACACTGGTGATGATAGGCCCAGATTCTGGATGTATATTGAAGGTACAGCCAAAATAATTGTGGCTATGGTGATGTGAAAGGAAAGTGCAACTAAGAATGACTCCCAAGGTTTTTTGGGCTGAGCAGCTACAGGTAGGGAAAAGGCATGAGAAGCAAGTTTTAGGAGAAGTGGGGGAAAAGAAGGCGCTCTGGTGGTGCTGTGGTAAAAGCATGGGGTTGCTTACCAAAAGGTGGGTGGTTCAAACCCACCACCCACTCTGAAGAAGAAAGACAAGGCAGTCTGCTTGCTAAAATATTTACAGCATTGGAAACCTTATAGGGCAGTTTTACTCTGTCCTAGAGGGTCTCTCTGAGTTAGAATCTACTCAACGGCCAGTAGGTTTGGATTTTAGTTTAGGAGAGAATAAGGAACTTGATTTTGGACTGTTAGAAATAGCTATCAACATTCAAGTTATAGCAAAATTCAAACATTTTCCTATTGTGATTCAGTACTTTTTACCTAACCACATTTTAAAGTCTACTTTGGGAGAACCCATTTCTCATGAGGGAATGAATATACCCCTCTATTATTTTGTAGCGTCATAAAACAGTACCCATGTGGGAGGAATATTGGTCAATCAGGGAGGCCCAACCTTGTCTAAACTTCTCAAGGTTCTTATTCCCAGACAATGCTCAGTGTTCTTGGTTGATTTTTTCTTTCCCATTTTATTCATGAATGTTCTCACCTCCAGTGAATTGCCAAAGTGATTAGGAGGTTCTACTGGAACATACTTGAGGAATATTTATAAAGAGTTGGGTATAAAATCACTAAGACATGTAAAATCATGCTAAAACTAGTTGATTACAAAAGGTACAGATCTTTCTTATGGAAGTCAATTATTCAGTCTTCAGGAACAAATTCTTGTAGACTTATCTACTACAAACCCTTTATAATGTTCATTTATTGTGTTAGTTTCTGCATTATTATTATAGGAAGAGCTTATAACCACTTCCATTTATGCTTCAGGTGAACCAATGAAAGAAGAAAATGAAAGGCATTAAGAAAAGTCTTACAGAAGAATATCTCTATCTGGACTTTTCTCATCAAAGAGAAGGATGCATCTTTCCTCTGCATACATCTGTAACTGTGTTTTTGTTGTCATACTGTGATTGCAGAATCTTTAAAGTTTGCTTAGTCTTCACCAAAGAAAGTACAGACATTTCACTAATAAGAAATGTACTGCCCCAAGATATTGAAATACAGATTATTTCAAGAGAAGTGCTTCCGTCTATAGTCCAGAATTGTTGTTTGCCTGCAGCAGTGGAAAGAACAGGCAATTTTTGTAGAGCGGGACTTGCTGTTGTGCTAAGACACATCATTCAGAAATCGTATGAAGCTGATCCCTCAAAGAAGGAAATTTTGAAACTACTGGGTTTTAAAAAGACTTGCTTGAAAGCCTGTGCTGAAGTAAGTATATTGTCTCTCCTATTGTTGTTTAAAATCAGAGTGATAGCACATTCATTTGAATGCCCATTTTAACTTTCTGTTGGGAACTAAACTTTGATTTATTAAAAGAAAATACCCCACAAAACCCAATGCAATAGTTAAATAATATTAGGATATTATAATGCAGTATTGGAAAACAAGAATTTAAGATTTAGTTTATGAGATTTGGTGGCAGTATTTTCAGTGATATTATTTTTAGAGAGTGACTTCTTTTTCACATTTTATTTTAGGTATATTGAGGATTTTTAAAGAGAATTTGTTTACATATAAATAAGGTCAACTAGTAGTATGTTTGAAACTCTGCTTTTTAATTTCTTTTTATTTTAAATGTTTTGATAAGTATTTATTCAGTAAAAGGATACAGGAATGCTAAAGTTTCTAATGCTTTAATGTTATCACTTCTGAAACACTATAATATATCTCCGATACAGCATACAGATCTAGCTCAGGGCTAATTTAACTCAAGACTTTACAAATTCTCTAAACCAATTCATTTCCTGGAAGAAAGTACTTTTTCCTCAAACTGTGTTGAAAGTAAAGAGTCCTTTCATTTCTTGTTTTATAGGTTAGTCATTGGACCAGGCTCTGTGAACTTACCATCCCTTTGGCTATTGAGAATTTTCTAAGAGAGTCTTTTGAAGAGCCCTCAACTATCCCTGTAGAAATACTACAGCTAGAGGAAAAACTTGGTGAGCCTGTTAGAGTGCACAATGATGACAAACTCCGTAGGCAGAAGCTGAAGCAACAGAAGGGTGCTAAAGTTGGACTTTCTCTTGCTAAGAACAAAACAAAGAGCAAGGTCTATAATCTGGAAACATCTGAAGAGTTGGACTTTCCATCCAAGAGCCTGGAACTGGAAGTGGCATTCTCAAAGCTAACAGCACAGGAAGAACCAGCCACTACCAACAGGGAGCCTTCTCATATCAGAAAAGCAAAAGCCTCTGACCTTCCACCTCTGGAACATGTGTTTGCAGAAGGGCTTTACTTTACACTGGCAGATATCGTGCTCTTGCCCTGTGTCCATCATTTTTTGGTAAGGTTTTATTTGTAGTAGATACATTATTGTATGATTTAATCTATGATACTTGCCTTGATTTTAATCCCAATTTCACTTCTTTCTATCATATCTCAGCACAGTTTATATCTCTCTGTTTCTGTTTTCTTATCTGTAAAATGGAGATAATAATAATACCTACCAGAATAGGATCAATGTGAGGAACAAATGACTTAATTTTTGTAAAGTGAAGAACAATGCTTGGCCTACAGCAGGTAAAATGTTAGCAGTTTTTATGATCACTAATTTCAAATTGCTATTGTTATTACCTTCTAATAGTAGAGGATCCAGTAGAGAGAAACCATATAAGCTTGTCAGTTATATTTTACAATTGACTAGTTCTTTAATATATCTCATTCTGTTAGTCATTAATAAATCAGAAATAGTTTATCTGTATCCTGTATTTCTCTGTTATGCATAAGATTAAAGGAGCTAGCTATTTTATCCTATGCTGTGGAACAATATAGGAGGAAAGGTTTCTTTACTGTCAGGGGCACAACTGACTGGACAGAAATGGGGCAAAGTCTGACCTGATAGAGTCAAGAGAACATTCATGGTCTTTAAGTTTGAGAGATGAATGAAAGCTAGAAAATGGATTTCACTAAAAAAACTGGATCAAAAGATTAATAGTCTACTTCTTCTTCTTTTTTTTTTTTTTTTGTATAGCAATGGATGACTTTTTATTTTTCATAGGCATTACTTGAAAAGAAATGAGAGTGACCATTTCGCCTGCAGAGATTTGGCTTATTTGATACAAATTACTATTAAGATGGTAATAAAGTCCTATCTCTTTGAAATTGCACTTCACCTTTAATATGTTGGCTAATAAGGGAGACAATGTGGTAGAGTACAAAGAGTTCTGGCTTTGAAATAGGGTTTGAATCCTGGTTCTGTAATTTACTTACTAGCTTTTTGTGACTTTGAGTTTGTTATTACACCTCTCTAAGCCTCATTATTCTCATCTGGAAAGTTAATATACTCCTTGAAGAGTATTGTAGGGCTCAGAAATATTCTTAGAAATACTATATGTAAAATGATGAATGAGTGAACAATGTGTGCTTCATAGGCAGGGGCTCATAGATGTCATTACAATTAATGAATCTTGAGAAAAGTTACAGTAGACTAGGCAAACTAAGTTAACCTTTCTTCCCTGGGTGTCAGAACATGTTTATGGCCACAAGATTTTAGTGATGGGTTTTCTGAAAATATATATTATGATATGAAACCAAAACCAAATTCACTGCCGTGGAGTCAGATCTGACTCATAGTGATCCCTCCTTGGGTTTCTGAGGCAGTATTACTACAGAAGTATATTGCCCAACCTTCCTTCTGAGGAGTGGCTGGTGGGTTTGAACTACCAACCTTCTGGTTAGCAGTCAGATGCCTTAGGCACTATGCCACCAGAGCTCCCATACTATGATATATAATACATTATTATATACACATCCATAAACATTTCCTGATGATAATAAAAATACAGTTTGCATATTTAAGGGTTGTTTGTGAAATAAGAGATTAAAATTTGTATGTCAACCTCCCCATATTCCATCAGAGAGGAATTTCTTGCAGTGTGAGCAATTTGACTCTTATTCCAAAGATAGAAGACAGAAAAAACTACTGCCAGATCAAAATTACTTTCAAAATGGCTTCCTTTATTTGATAATTACAATATCCTAGACAAATGACTAATATCCTACTGTTAAAAAGTTGAATGTGTAACTATCAAGAGGAAAAAATTATGTGTGATAGGTATTGCAGAACAGGAGGAGGCAAAAAAAAAAAAAAAAAGGGAGAATTGTCAAAGATTATTGGTAGAAAACTTCCCTAATATCATAAAGATGAAAAGATACAGATCCAAGAAGCTCAATGAACCTCACACAAGATAAACCCCAAAAGAAATTCATGAAGAGATAACATTATCAAACTTTCTAAAACTCAAGACAAAGAAAGAATCCTGAGAGCTGCTCAAGAAAAGTGAAATGTTACCTACAAAGGGGAACCAGTAACACTAAGCTTCAATTTGTTGAAAGAAACCATAGAGACAAGAAGGCAATGAGATGACGTGTATAAAACCCTGAAAGAAAAAAAATGTCAACCAAGAAGTATATATTCAGCAAAACTGTCCCTTAAATATGATGGTGAAATTACAACATTTCCAGATAAACAGAAATTAAGAGAATTTCTGAAAACCAGACCAACCTCAAAAGAAATGCTAAAGGAGTCCTTTAGACAAAGAATCAGCAATGTCAGACAGCCTGAGATAAGGATACATGACAACAGCATTGGAAACCAACACAAGTAAAGAATTTTTTAAAATAAACTTAAAAGACTGAATATGGGACCAGAGCTGCCAATCTGTAAATAACAACAACTGCTAACATAAAGAGAGAATGAATGGCATGATTACAGTATTTTGAAATAGAGAGCAAATCAAAATGATACTAAGATAGAACAGACTGTTTTAAATGTTGGAAGGTAAAAATAAATTACAGGGTAACCACAAAGAAAATTAATAAACCTTCTTACCAAAATAAAGAAGAAAATCAAGGACTCAGTAAACACAAAATTAACTGCAATGAAGAAAATCTGATAACAAAATGAACTTAATACAGAAAAATAAATAATCAATACCCCCAAAAATATAGTACACAGTAGAATGACAGCAGTAAATCTATACATATCAATCATTGCACTGAATGTAGATGGATTAAATCACCAATCAAGAGGCAGAGAGTGGCAGAATGGATAAGAACATAGGACCCATTACTATTCTGTGTAGAAGAGACTCACCATACACATAAAGATGAAAATAAACTAAAAAAGATGAAAAAGATATGTATCAAGCAAACAACAACCAAAAAGGAGCAGGAGTAGCAATATTAATTTCTGATAAAATAAACTTCAAGGCAAAAACCAGGATGAGAGACAAGGAAGGATATTATATAATGATTAAAGGGTGAATCCAGCAGGAGGATATAAATACTATGCACTCAATTAAAGAACCCCAAAATACATAACTCGAAATTTAACAAAATTGAAAGAATAGACAACTGCACCATAATTGTAGGAGACTTTAACATGCCATTTTCAGTTAAGGTCAGGACAACTACAAAGAAAGTTAACAAAGATACAGAAGATTTAAACAACACGATAACCGACTAGACCTCATAGATACATATAGAACATTCTACCCAACAGCATCACAATACATATCCCTATTATTGTTGTTATTATGAGCCATCGAGACATCCCTAAGGCAGCTGAAATAAAAAGATGATCACAGGATAATACAAAGGATTGTATGCCAACACATTTGAAAACCTAAAAGAAATGGACAAATTTTTAGAAACATTTGGCCTATATAAACTAATACATACCGAGGTAGAAATTTTGAACAGATCATCATTATCACAAAAGGAGAAAGCAAAAAAGTCATTGGAAAAAAAAAAAAAAAAATCCCAACAAAAAAAGTCATGGTCCAGATAACTTTACTGGGAAATTCTGCCAAACATTCAAAGAAGAGCTGGAATCAGTTCTATTCAAACTATTCCGGAACATAAAAAAAGGATGGTATGGTAGTTAAGGTTATGTTTCACCTTGGCTGGACCTGGTTTTGAATAGCTGGGCAGTTGGATGTAGTTATTCCCCATGATGAGACTGGTACTCAACTTCATGGTGGAATCTACTGTTAGCAGCTGAGTAGCTGCCTTAGTGATGTGGTCTGCTTCCAGTACATAAGAAGCAGCTTTGAGAAAGGTCTCTGAGCATTTTGGCACAACTTATTCCTGCATTTGGCCGAGTCTTCATTTCAGTGGCCTGCCATGTTGTCTGCCGATCTTGAGACTGTTTCTTGACTTGAACCAGTAGTCTGCCATGTTGCTTGATAATGTTGGGACTGTGTCATTTTACCTGTTGACCTTGGGTTTGTCAGCCTCAGCAGCCAGCAGCTGCCTGAGTTAAGAGAAGACTCCAGCTTCAGTGAGCTGGGAGCAAGAAGCAGAGCTGAAGCTCAAGGGCCATCACCCAGCCCCTAAAGCTGGCACTTTGAACTTAGACTTTTTGCCTCCTAAACTGAAAGGGAATAAATCCCTGTTTGTTAAAAACACCCACTTGTGGTATTTTCTGTTAGAGCAGCACTAGAGGACCAAAACAGATGGAATACTCCCAAATAAATTCTTTGAGGCAAGCATAAGTCTGACACCAAATCCGGCAAAGATATCACTAAAATAGAAAATTACAGATGAATATCCCTCATGAACATAGACACAAATATCCTCAAAAAATTCAGGCCAATAGAATCCAACACCATATATATATATAATACAGTATGATCAAGTGGGATTCATATCAAGTATGCAAGGATGGTTCAACATTAGAAAAACAATCAACATAATCCACTACATATATAAAACAAAGGAAAAGAACTACATGATCTTACCAGTTGATGCAGAAAAGCATTTGATAAAGCCCAACACCTATTCCTGATACAACTCAGCAAAATAGGAATAGAAAAGACATTCCTCAACATAATTAAGGGCATATACACAAAACCAATGGCCAAGTGAGAGAGACTGAAAGCATTCCTCTTGGGAATAGGAACCAGTCAAGGATGCCCTCTGTCATCACTCCTATTCAATATTGTATTCAAAGTCATAGCAGAGCAATAAGGCAAGAAAGGGAAATGAAAGGTATCCAGAATAGCAAAGAAGAAGTAAAACTATCCCTATTTGCAGATAATCCAAAAAACCAAACTCACTGCTGTGGAGTCGGATCTGACTCATAGCAACCCCTCCTTGGGTTTCTGAGCAGTATTGCCCATCCTTTCTTCTGAGGAGTGGCTGGTAGGTTTGAACCACCAGCCTTCTGGTTAGCAGTGAAATGCCTTAGACACTATGCCACCAGAGGTCATTTGCAGATAATATGATCCTATATGTAGAACATCCCAGAGACTCAGCAAGAATGCTAGTGAAACTAAAGAT